AATGCGTTGCTGTCGCTGTGTGCGGCAGCGCGCCCACGGCCGGCGCTTGCCGGCCGTCCGGCATCCTTTACCGACCGAAATGACTTCTTAACCCTTATTCTGACTTAACATGAACATTGTACTGAATTACACGTAATACGCTGAACTTACTCACCGGCACTAACACCCGGTCGTGGCGTGCTCGCTATATGCGAGGCCTACGGCCTTCGGCCAGTCCTCGACCAAACTCAACATAACTGAACTTATCATGACTTAACATAAATATTATTATGAATCATGACCTGAAACACAACTTTTGTACGATAAACATGAAAGGGGCCGCGGCGGGCGCGCCGTGCGCCGCCGACGGCTAATAAACTCTTAAATGTCATTCAGAAAATCATAGAATAATAAGAAAATCTTAAGATAATATCAATAATTAAAATATTCAATATATAAAATTGTTTATTTCTCATTATTTATTTAGTGTCCATCTTGGCTCAAATAAGATAGTAACAATTAAAATATCATGATGTATTTTTGTTAATTATTGAATTAAAAAGTTAAAATATTTAATGTATTAATAATTATAATACTATTCACCTTGACATTAACCGTCCAATGCTCAAGTGTAAATTTGTTAACTTTATAACTTTAACCAAAATTGCAAAAAAATAAAAAATAAAAAATAAATAAATAAATAAATAAATGATTATTTTTGTGAGATAAAAATCCAATCCAATAAAACTATGGTTCAATCCCCCTATATATAATTCCCGAATGCACTGAGTCTACGTGGCTGCTTCTGGTGCTTCACAATCCTACTTGGCGAAAAATCATGCTTCGTATTAGGTTTGGACAAATAATATTGATATATTAATAATTAATGATCTAGGTTCCGACATTCCATAAATATTATTTAGCTAACTTAGGTATTTTAATATCACTTGTACTAATATAACCCTTTAATTCTTTGTAATTTTACATGGTGAGGCACTAATTTTGATTTGTTTCCTTCAATTAGCTATTGAATTATAAATGTATTTTAAAAGTTGATAATTTTTGTATTATATCAGATTAATCATATTTTCATGATCTTCGATTTGACATCCATATTGTATATATACAATAAATAATTATATTTATTTTTACAATAATAAAAAATAATAATATTTATTAAAATTTATTAAATAAAATAAAATTATTTCTCAGTTGCTATATTTATGTTTAATGTAGTTATATGTTGTAAGTTAAAAAATTATTATAATATAACACAAGTAAGTAACACCAATAAAAAGTATCATACTAAATATATAATAATATATATTAGTATTTAAATTTTCAACTACTTTAAGTTTAGATTTTATGGAAAAAATTAGCAAACACCCGTATAATACACGGCGTTGTACTAGTTTCTATATTAACTCTAAATTAAAAGAGTTTATTTTCTTAATAATGAAGTAGTTAAATGCATTGTTCACTTTTCTAGTTTGTTAGATTATGTATATATTTCACGGTGCAATAAATTTAAGTTACGTATGTATTTTTAGAATTATTTATTATTATATATACAATTACCCTCATTTCAGTTGTTATTTATTACCATGATTTATCATTTGTTAATATTGTACAATAAATAGTTCAAAATATTTGAATTCTTTTTTTTTTTTCCAAAATGATTAAATTCATATACTACCAACTCAAATAATTATAGACGATAACCAACTAGTTAAGTTCACGGGGGCAATACATGCATTCACCCTCTAAGCCATCTATTAGCATATACAAATATTGTATTTAGAATAAATGTAAAGTTGCTATTTCATATAGCAACTATAGGACCTGATGTAATTTTTGTTTTTAAATTGTATGTAAAGTTGCTATCACTTGTAGCAACTATAGGACCTGATGTAATTTTACTTTAACACCCTTGTGAACCCTAAGTATAAATACTAGGGACATCACAGTTTGTAAACACTTTTGATTCTCTCAATTTTTGCAATTCAATGGTCAGTTCATCTTGTTCATCTTTTCTCTCTCAATTGCTTGTCTGCGATTCTTCTTCTATCTTAGCTATAATCTCACATGGTATCATTCGCCGGTATTACGATCTCCGCTTCCGCACCTTTTCTCTGTTTTCACTTTTTCGATTGATTCTCCATCTCCGAGAACTCAATCGCCATTTTTTTTTAGGGTTTCCACATCTGAAACTCGATCTGTTTTTTTTTCGATCGACATCTCTTCGATCGTCTCATATTTGGTCGACATCTCTTCGATCTGTTCGTATTTGGCTGATTCTCTTCCATTTGTTCATATTCTGTGACTTTCGGTACAAAATCTCCATGGCCGCTACATTGAATCCCACAGACGATCCCTCATCTCCATATTTCCTGCACGCGAGCGACAATCCAGGGGCTATCATCGTTGTTGAGCCCTTCAATGGTGAGAACTACGTTTTCTGGTCCAGATCCGTCCTCATGGCGCTCAGTGTCAAGAACAAAGGGGGTTTTGTCGACGGTACTATCTTATCCCCCTCTCCGACTGATAATCCTACACTCTATGTTGCCTGGGTGAGATCTAATAATCTTGTTCTATCCTGGGTTCTTAATTCTATATCGAAGGAAATTCGACAATCTCTGTTGTTTTTCACTTCTGCCAGAGAGGTCTGGGATGAGATTAAAAATCGATATGCAATGAGTTCTGGTCCTAGGGTATTTCAATTAGAAAAATCTCTAAGCACCATGGATCAGGGTTCCTTGTCTATCACTCAGTATTATAATGCCTTTAAGGGGTTATGGGATGAATATGTGACTTACAGACCTGTTTTTCGATGTCACTGTGGAGCTTTCACATCTTGTACATGTAACATTTTTGAGTCTATGGCTGCATCTCAACAGCAAGACTGTGTTATGAAATTTCTCATTGGTCTTCATGAATCATATGCATCCCTGAGAAGCCACTTCTTATTATCTTCCCCTCTCCCAACCCTAACCAAAATATACAGTCTCCTTCTCTAAGAAGAATCTCAAAGAGCTTTACACAACACAAACACATCCATATCAGACCCTATGGCAATGCTAGCCAAAACAGCTCCCAACTACTACAAAAATCAGAAACCATCTTTCACCAAAGACAAAAAGCCAAGAGCAAAATGTTCTCACTGTGGTTACCCTCATCCCTCTGAAAAATGTTACCATGTTATTGGATATCCTGCCCATTGGACTGGCCCAAGGGGTCCTAGGATACATCCTCAACATTCTGCTAACATGTTGCATACTTCCATCACTGAACCTGCTTCTGAAACTTTTACTCATGATGCATCTTCCATGACTAATGAGTTGTTCAATGAGTTCTTAGCCTTTAAGAAGTCTCAGGAGACACAAAAAGCACCAGAACCAAATAAAACACCTGTGGTTGCTACTGCTTTTCCTGCTTCCTCAGGTATCTCTACCCCTTACTCATGCTTAGTGTCTAAACATTTATCTAAAAATGCATGGATTTTAGACACTGGTGCAACTGATCATATGGTATGTGATGAATCATTTTTCAGTACTATGCAACCTGTTAGCAATATACATATAAATTTACCAAATGGTGATGTCACCAAAGCATGTTCTGTAGGCCATATTCAGTTGTCATCTACTTTAGTCCTACATAATGCTTTTTATGTACCAGATTTTAAGTTCAACTTAATTTCTGTATCTAAATTGGCATCATCCAATAATTGTGTTGTTCAATTTGTATCATCATACTGCATTCTACAGGACATGACAACACACAGAATGATTGGTTCTGCTGAACTAAAAGATGGACTCTATCATCTCAATATTGCTGATTCTACTGACAAACTATTGCCATCTTCTGCACATATTTTCTCTAATTGCAATTTACATGTAACCTTACCTTTACCTGTAAATCATGATTCTGCAAACAATTTTCTCTTGCATAACAAATTAGGCCATCTTTCCTATGCTAAACTATTGCAGTTACCTGTTTCTACTTCTACTTGTAAAAACTTGCAATCCTTGCCTTGTGATATTTGCCATTTTGCTAGACAAAAGAAGCTTCCATTTCCTGTTAGTCAATCTCAATCTATATCTTCATTTGATTTGATTCACTGTGATGTATGGGGTCCTTTTCATACTCAGTCCCATGAAGGATACAAATATTTTTTAACCATTGTTGATGACTATAGTATGAAAACATGGATATATCCTTTAAAACAAAAATCTGATACCAAACGGAGTCTAATTCATTTTTATAATATGGTCTTCACTCAGTTTGATAAGAAGATCAAAACAATTAGAACTGACAATGGTACAGAATTTTTTCTCAAAGATTTTTATACTGATAAAGGTATTCTTCATCAAACTACATGTGTTGAAACCCCACAGCAAAATGGGAAGGCAGAAAGGAAACATCAACATATTTTACAAGTAGCTCGGGCTCTCTTATTTCATGCACATTTACCTTTCATTTTTTGGGTAGATTGCATAATGGCTGCAGTGCATATCATTAACAGAATACCTTCCACTCTTCTTCAAAACAAATCTC